TTTTTTTTTTTTTTTTAAATGGAAAACCAAAAAAAAAGGAAGAAAAAAAAGAATTGAGAGAATTTCTCACTTCATTGATAATGTAGCAATCACTATCCATTCATTAAAAAAAAAAAAAAAAAAAAAAAAAAAAAACAATAACGGCAGTAGATGCACAGAGAAACACATGAAAGAAAAAAAAAAATCATCAGTCAACGTTTGGTCTTGGCCCATCTTTCTTCACACACACGCACAGACTAACACATGAGCAAAAATAATATATGAGGAGACATGAAATGAAAAAAAGATGTAAAAGAGGAAAAACATACATTCATATTTTCTTTTTCTTCTTCTTTTTCTTTCCTACGTCCACATTCTCGTGTTGGGGCGCAGAAAATAATAAAAAAAAAAAAAAAACAATCATGACCCTATTATTATTATTATTATTATTATTATTATTATTAATATTTTTTCAATAAAAGCACGTTGGGGAGAAAAAACTTTAGCAGAAACAAAAATCTGCCTCTGTCTTTACCACCAACCACATTCACACAGAATAGAATGGGGGGTGTCCAAACTCACATACATTGTGGACACTAAATGGGAGAATCATAATAATCATAATAATAATAATCATAACAATAAAACAATAAGGGAAATGAAAAAGAGCAACCACAATAGCATTTGCAATTATGAGAACAATAAAAGAACGAAAACGTTTTCAACACACACACACACGTTTTACTGTTCATATTGCGTCAGTAGAGTATATCTTCCATTTGCCCCCCTTTTCTTTATATATTTCTTTCTTTCTTTCTCTCTTCTATACACACACAGAGAGAAAGAGAGAAACATCGAAATAAAAATAAAAATGAGCAAATTGAATGCATTTCAGCAATTCTTCCCAAAAACACGGGATGCAAGAAAATAATCCACACACACAGAAAAAAAAAAAAAAACACGAAAGAAGAAAAAGGATGAAGGTCACACACACAAACACACAGAAAGAAACAAAGAAGGATAGTCAACACACAGATTAAAATGCAAATATAGGCGTCATACTTATTATCATTATTATTTCCAACTTCCTCATGCTCTCTGTAAAGCCATCCTCTATTCTTCTTCTTCTTCTTCCTCTTCCTCTTTTTTCTGTTCTTTTTGTTTTTGTTGTTCTTTTTGTTTTTGTTGTTTTTCCTCTTCCTGACTTTCCTTCTCATTATCCTTTCGTTCTAACAATTCCTGATCTTCCTCCCCCTCCTCCTCCTTCCCTGTTGGCCCTAAACAAGTAGAATTACAAACGATATCATCTGTCTGTACTCTTACCATCGTTGTATTCTCTTCAGCACCAACACTAACACTACCAACAGCGTAGCGGGAACAAATAACGGAGGGATCATGAGCTTTTGTACACGTATCCAATACATATTGTACACCACTGGTTTTCATCTTTGAACACAATGCCACCTTCACTACACCAAACTCACGAATAGTGGGTGGTTTACCCCCACGTTGTTGTCGAAGTTGCAACCATCGCTCCCAAAAGAGAAAAAGAGAACCCACAAGATATTCACAACAGACAAACAACATAGGGAATTCACACCAGAGATGACTCGTATTGTTAGAGTTGGTTCTGAGATGTGATGAACTTTTTCCTGTAGTACACATACGTCGAGCACGATGTATGAGATCTGACCGGAATGTATTATCTCTTAAACGTTCAAGAAGCATCGCAGAGAAGTTAAATCCAATTAAAACGAATGGAAGTTTTGTAAAAACATCACCCTCAGCATCATTTGAATTACATGTCTCCCAGAGACAAGCAGCAAATTCACTGTAGTACTCAATCAAATAAACAAGTTGTAAAAGTCCAAGAAGACCAGTAGAACGAAGATCTGTAGCGGGATCACTACCCTGAAAACCTATTCTATCCCAATCCATCGCACCAGTGTGAGTACTACTACCACCCGTACCACCATTACTACGACTTTTAGGATATAATAAACCATTGTGAACAGTTACAAGTAATCTGCGATGTATGATTTGACCATGATCAAACGGTACAGACGGTAAGGTTAGGGTAAAATCTATATCCCGTTGTAATATACGCTCTATCGTCTCACTATTAACACTACTACTATAACTATTACCACCAGCACCTCCTCCTCCTCCTCCTCCTCCTCTTCCACTATTATTGGCAGTGTCAATATCATCATTATATCTTGAAGACAGCGATAAACAGCAGTCAGATCCTCCAAAAATTCTATATAAAATTGCTGTCAAACAATTTCTGGAATCCCTTTCATTATAACGATTAGGTATAAGGTATGGTTCCCATGAAGATGTATCTTTTTTTAGTAATTCTGCAGCTTCCAAAAAAGGAATAGGTTTATTCCTCTCACTGACAACATTTCGTCCATTACTCGACTCTTCAACTAAACGTTTTTCCGTTTCACGATTAACCTTATCCCAATCTACTCCCATTAAGTCGTTATTAAAACCTTCAACCACCGTCACTTCATCTGCAGCGGTCTCTGTAGCTTTATGAAGTAATGAGGTATGAATAAGAGGTGTTGAACCTTCACAAAGGGAATATACAGCTGAATCCGCTTTCTCATGTTCAATTCCAGGGGTTTTATTACTGACAGAAAATCCATTTTCTTCATTTTGTTTTTCTCCTCCTTCCTCTTGCAACCAATCGCCTTGTTGTTGTTGTTGTTGTTGATCTTCTTCTTGTTCTACTGGAATGACTGTCCCCTCACCATCACATTCAGAGCCTTCGTTAACGCGGTACTGCAAAGCCACAGAAGGTGACGGAAGAACAGATACCATAGAAGGTGCTGCACACATACATACACAAACCGTTTTACAATTAAACTCAAACTAGTGTAAGTGAATAAATCACAGATCCACAATGCCCAAAAACACGTTGAAAGAGCTAAATATGCAAAGGAGCAAGAAGACCAAAAAGAGGAAAAAAAAAAAGAATAGAAGAGAACTTTGTAAAAAAAAAAAAAGAGGGAAAGACACTAATATCGATATGGAGAAGTGTGACTTGGACGCTCTGAGTGTAATGGCAGAGCGTGTTGTTTCTGAGTGTACAAAAGCAAAGCCAGTAATAAACACTCCTCCTGTCTATTTGGTGCTATTCCCTTCTTTCCTCTCTTTTTTTTGTTTAGTGCTTGTCGTTCTTATACTACTTTGCAGTAAGCAAAACTATGTACGTGAAAAGGAAAACAAAACCAAAAAGGAGGAATCATGTGGAAATATAACGGTATACAAATTCACAGAATACATTATACTAGATAAATCATCTAGGCTCAAACCTCTAGAAGGAATATAATTATATTACATATATCTACATATATCTATATGTATACTTGTAAACGTAAATGTTTAAAAGGGCAAAAGACGTTAAAAAAACATGTGTACAAATAGGTGAAATAATAAAAGAAACAGTAACATTAATCACATGTAAATGCAAAAATGTTTCTCTTTCTTGATCTAAAAATAAAATAAAAAAACAATACACAAGAATCTAGAGAGTAAATAAATAAAAAAAAAAAGAACAACACTTCAGGGCGGTAACTACATACTGCCTTCAATAATCTAGAATTGTAATTGCAGATGAAGTGATGAACCTACAGCAGCAGTAGGAGTAATACTATCATCACTTTTACCACTAATGTCTATTAATTTTACCTTTTTACCTTCTTGCAATAATGAGGTGGAAGTAACCCCATCGTCTGGTTTAACAGTACGTTTGGATAAAATCAATCCCTTGGCACCATCCTCTATAGTTCCAGAGAGATTTTCCTCTGATACCATCTTTCGCTGCTTACAGGATGGCATCAACTTCAACATTTCTTTATCAGTTACCGTATTGATATCTATATCCAGTAATCTTTTACGGGTTTGCAATCCATGCAATTCTGTCCCTTTACGAAAGGATAGTGAAGATACAGAAGAAGAAGAAGTAAAAGTAGTAGTATTGTCCACCACTGTCGTTCCTATATTAGAGATATTGGATGAAGGAATCATTAATGATGGAACAGTACTTCTCATACAATCATCTGTATTCCTTAGTTGATGATGATCCCATACAAGTTGGAGTTCCTGCGATGGACTTCCATAGGAAGAAAAGGGAGCCGTAAGAGCTGCGGCTGCACATACACTCGGAGTGGTATCCCGTTGTTGAGATATTGGATGGAATGAATCCCGTACACATTGTAGAGATGATCTCTCATGTATTTTAAAAGTATCATCCTCTTTTATTTGAAAATTTTTTGAATTCATAAAATGATCAATAGATAATGAATTTTTTGTCCCCATATAAACATCATTATTCATTCTTTCCTTTTCACTATTAGGAACCTCATCCACATTAGTACCACTTATAGAAATAGTACGATGACTTAATAAAGGAAATTGTAAAGATCCAAATCCATTTAAAAGTTTTACACATTCATCTTTTTCTTGTTGTGTAGTTGAAAATGCAACGACGCCATCTTCACATGTTAATCTCTCCTCTACTATTTGAAGAGCACTATGACTATCCATAAAGGTTTGTGTGGCGACCGTACCTAATATACCTATACTCTTCTTTAATATCGTATCAAATCCCATCAACTCCACTGCATCTGTTGAGTTGATTACATCCTCCACACGTCCAGCCATTTCTTCTACGGCATTCGATATACTTTCACACTGTAATGCCCGTTGTGTCATTGCATTCTTCACTGAATGTTCATATTGTATCAATTCTTGTTGTAATTCCTCTTCCCGTGAGTTCAGAACAGAGCGGAGAGTGTCAAATTGTTGTTGTATCATCTCCCGCACTTTGGCAAAACGTGTTTCTAAAGAAATAGTTGCGGCATGTAAACTCCTTACCGTTTCACCAGCGTTAACGGCATCTTCTTGTTGTTCCTTTACTTCTTGGCGTACTTCCCATCGTCTCTTCTCCGCCACATCTGCGAGTGGCTCTACGGTGTGTCCCTTGTGATGACCGCCAAAGCAGCAGGTGAGACAAACCGCCGCGCTGCACGTAAAACAATACAACTCAAGTGTTTGTGTTGTGTGCGTTTCGCACATGTGAACTTTACGCCGTTGAGGAGCCGCACGCAGAGGAACGACGTTGTGTGTACGATAGCGTCCACGTTGATGTGAGGACTCTTGACAAGATACACAAAGTGGAAATCCACACGGTACACAGAATTGATCTGCTGTCGCCTCTTCACATATACCACAAATAGATCCAGACACTTTTGTTGTTTTTGTTTTTGTTGTTGTAAATGGACTCTGGTTATTATCAATATGAACTTTACAGTTTTTAATAACACTGTTCATTGGACAAGTAGTGAAGGGGACTGGTGTGATATTAGAGGGAATGGTTACCATACACTGTGGACATTGTAATGGAATCAACATAGCCTCATTATTATTATTCATATTATTATTATTATTATTATTATTATTATTATTATTATTATGACCTGTAATGATACAACTGCTTCTTGTGGAGTCTATAGAAGCATTCATATTGAACCAACGTTTTGCGCATTCTGCACATGCAATACATACAGAGTTCTTAACTTCCGTTTGTGTTGATGAATGTAAAAGTACTGGTTGTCGGATACCAATAGAAAAACACAGTGGACACAAATAAGGTAATATCCGCTGCGCTTCCTCAGTTTCCTTTATTATTGTTGTTGTTTCTTCTGAAAGAAGAGAATCATCACAACAATTTCTTATTTGTTCATGTTGATATGTTTTAAGACTCATATTTTCACTTTCTTCTTTTTCCTCTTTTGGTATATCCAGCAGTATTAGTGAAGGGGTATTTGTTTACGTTGCGTAAGGACAAAGATAAGTCCCCCTTTTTCAAAGAACACTAATTTGAAAATGTTTTGAAAAGTAAAAGTAAAAGAAAAGAAGCAGTAATAAATCATAATAAAAGAGAAAAGAAACAAATACAAATATTTACTAGAACAATCCAAGCAAAAAAGAATGAAAAAAAAAAAAAAAAGAAAAGAGGAATACAGTAATAAAGATACAAAATTATCATACATTCGTCATTGAAGTGACCTACATCATATATTTCTTTCCACTTCCTTCCTCTATCGCCCTCAGTTTGCTCCTCCTCTTCCCCCGTGATTCCATGAATTCATTTAGGTCCAATAAGATACTATATATATATATAATACATTCTCATTTCCTTCTTATTGTTTATACTGTATCATTAGAACCCTTCTTACGTTGTGACTCTACAGCCCTCACGGCTGATCCCGCAGCAAAAGAATTGCCATTTCCCCCACGATTCTTGTAAAGACGCATCGCACGTTGAATCTCCTCTGGTGCCACAGGTACAGAATCAAGATGTGATAATTGACGAGCCATACTAATAACACGAAAACGATTTCGTTCATACTGTGAAAGTTGCTCTAATTCTTGCTGATTATCATCATTCCATCCAATTAACTCCTGTGGTGCTGCCGGTATGTGATGGACAAGTCCTCTCGCCGGGGGAGCCGCGATAGTAGAGAGGAGTACATTACTGGCAACAGTACTATTTTTACTGGTACTGCTATTATGAACATTCCCAGTATACCCACTAACACCACTACGAATACTAGCAATATCATTTACAGAACTTGTATGGATTGATTCCGGTTGCGGACGTCCAACTCGACTATTAACAAAGTCTACATCTTGTGCTACTTTCGCTTCACTATTATATGGTGGAATGGCACTTTTTGGTGGTTGAGTTGTATCCGAAATAGTGACAACAGTTATTGGAGTTTCAAGAAAGGGATTCTGTTCTAGTGTGAGTTGCCGCAGATTCATTAAATCTGTAAGTGTATGTAATTCTTTCCAATCGGCAATACGATTATGTGCGAGATGTAACCAAACAAGACTACGCAGGACTTCAAATCCAGTGAGTCTCTCTACACTGTTGTGATCAAGTATAAGTGATTCTAAATTCTCAGCGAGGTGCATGACAAATTGTGCATTCACTATATTATTCTGAGAGAGATCAAGACGTCTTACAGTGTTACAACCCGCAAAGGCATCCAAATCTACACGTGTAATGTGATTAGACATTAAATTGAGTCGTGTTAGACTGTGAAGTGCGGTTAAATCGTTACTATCAATCGTTTCAATTTGATTATGGGCTGCGTTGAAATCAATAAGAAATGGCAATTGTTTTAATCCCCTAAGCGTGGTGAGGGCATTACCACTGAGATTAAGCCGCTCTAGTGTGGTAGCTGATGGAGTGAGATCATCAAAGACGTCATCCCCAAGTTTGTTATTAGCAGCAGAGAGATAAACAAGATAGTGTAGTTCACGCAGTGGTTGTAGACTGTGGAGTTCATTATTATCCAGTGAGAGACGTTGGAGGTGTTTGTATGAACTCAACACTGTAATAGATGTAAGATGTAAATTGGATAGATTTGCCTGTGCGTAGACAAGATTACCCTCCGCATTATGGACAAGCACATCCAGTGCTGATTGCACAGTCTCTACTCTGAGAGGCGTTCCTCCCTCTTCTTCTTCTTCTTTTACTAATGGTTCCAGTTCCGATATACAGGGTGTAGTTCCTGCCGCAGCGTCTTTTTCCGATCGGGATGAGGAACTCCGCGATGAGGAAGTCATTTAGAAACCAAGAGACTTTAATAGATAAGAAAGAATAATAATAATAATGAAAAAAAGAATAAACACATATATTCATAATAATAACAATAAAAGAGGAATCATATTATAAATACACTCATATACATTTACAGATATTATATATATATATCTTCCCTTTCTCCAATTTTCTCTCTAATCAGGTATAGATGTATAGATGTATAGATGCAATCCTGCACCACGCCAAAGAGACACATACACACACACACACACAAACAATCAAAGACATATATATATATATATATATATATATATATATAAACTGATACTCCATTACGAGTAGGGAAAAAACAACAACAACAACAATAACAACGGCAAAACACACACAAACACAAGCACTCACTCATACACACGACGGAGCGCAGGAAAACAAAAAAAAAATCAAAAACGGGGAAGAACTCATACACACGACGGAGCGCTGGGAAAAAAAAAAATCAAAAACGGGGAAGAAAACAATGACAAAATTATTAAAAAAAAAAGTAATAACAACAAAAAAAAAAAAAAAAAAAAAAAAAAAAAA